TCTGGAGATATGAGCAATATGGGGTTTCCATGATAGGTTTTGATCAATGGTAATTCCTAAGTTTTTTACAGAGGGGGAGAAGGAGATTGGTTGGTCATTAATAATCAAGGAAGGAAGGGTGGAGATGGATCTAAGGAGGGAGTTGGAACCTATAAGAATTGCCTGAGTTTTTGATGGGTTTAAGTTTAAATTATTCAAGCTTGCCCAGGCACTGATCCTATCTAGGCCTTTCTGAATATTCATAAACGCTTCTAATAACTCAGTGGGCGGAAAGGAAAGATAAATTTGGGAGTCATCAGCATATAGATGGTATGAACAATGGTGGATTGAACTAGGAAGGTCATTGATGTAAGAATTAAAAAGAATAGGAGAAATGCTTGAACCCTGGGCTACTCCATGAGACAAAGTGAGGAAAGAAGATAAGGATTGATTCGGAATACTAACAGCTTGAGTCCTGTCAGAAAGGAAGGATTGGAACCATAAGATAGAACTATTGGAAAGGATAGTGATTTTAATTTAGTGTAGAGGATAGAATGGTCTAAGGAATCGAATGCTTTGGAGAAGTCCAGGAGTACCAATACAGTCAGTTTTCTTTCGGCAATTGCAGTATGTATGTCGTTTGTGATTTTGACTAAAGCGGATTGAGTGGCGAAGCCCGGGCGAAAGCCAGATTGGAGAGGATCTAAAAGTTTGAACTCTTCGAGAAAATTGGAAATTTGGGATTGGATAATTCTTTCGAGGGATTTTGACAGATTTGAGAGGATGGAAATTGGACGATAGTCTTTAGGAGATGTGGGGTTAGGGATTTTGTCAATAGGCCGGACTAAGGTTTTTTTCCAAGATGTAGGGAAAACAGAATTTTGAAGGGAAAAGTTATAAATGAATAGAAGAACTGAAAGGATTTCAGGGAGGCATAATTTTAACAGTTTGACGGGTATTCCGTCAATTCCTATAGAGTCGGATTGGGATTTCATTATGGAGGAAATAAGGTTCGTAGGAGTGATGTAGGAAAAATAAAAATTGTCACTATTAAATTCAGACGATACAGATATATGGGAAGAGGCAGGAGAAATATTACTAGAGGAGGAGGATAAAAAGTAGGAATTTGAAGCATCAGGAGAGACTGGGACAGTTGTGGAAGAAGATTATTTGCAAAGAGACAGCTTTCGGAGTAAATTCCATTTGGATTTGGAATCGGGAGCCGAGGAGAAGGCTTCATGATAGTAATTGGTTTTCGCCAGCCTGATCGTTGTTTGTGTCGAGTTACGGAGTACCCTGAACGCTTCGTAGTCGTCTGCTAGCCTGGCTCTTCTAAAGCGTCTACGGGCTGCCTCACGTCTCTTTTGCATATTTCGAATTTCTTGACACATCCAAGGAGCAGGCTGGTGGCGGAATGTAGAGGTTTTAAGTGGGGCATGGGTATTGAGGATATGGAGGAGATTAGAAGTCAGGATATCTACCATGGTATCAATTGAGGAGCTGGTTTAAACATCATTCCAATTCAGGGTTTCGATATCGGGTAAGATGCTTTCACGGGTTAGGGAATTTATATTGCGGAAGGTTATTGTTTTAGGAAGGATCGCAGGGGTCTGGATATTGTATGATAGTTGGATGAGGTCATGTGAAGAGAGGAAGGGAACAGGTAGCTGGGGCGAGGACAAAAGATTCTGCGCAGAATCGATGATGAACAGGTCCAGCCATGTATCAGACCAGCAAGTGTGATGAGTAGGTGCAAATGGTACTACGAAGAGGTTAAGGGAGTAGAAAAGGTTTTCCAGGTAGTGTTTGTTGTGGGAATCGGAAAGGAGGTTGGCATTAAAGTCACCGGAAACTATTATGTTACTGTAAAAAGGGATAAATTTGTATAGGGTAGATTCAAAGGATGGGTCGAAAGGTACCAGAGGAGGGCGATAAACTAGAACGTATAGGAGAAGATGGGCTTTGAAGGAAATTTCAACAAAAAGATATTCCATGTGGGGACAATTGGAAGGGAGTGAGATATCTAGGATTCGGGATTTTAGGCTATTATGGACGTAAAGACCCACACCACCACCCGTTTGTGTAACCCGGTCGTGGCGGATAAAGGTGTGATCGGGTAAGGAAACCGAAGAGGAAGGGATGTGGGGTTTTAGCCATGTTTCGGAAACTGCAATAGTATGGTAAAAATTACAGGTAAAATATTGCTGAAATTCGTCGAAATGGGCTGGTAAGGATTGGGAATTAACATGACAAGAGGTCAGGATACTAGATATGTTGGATAGGAAATAGAGAAATATGATGAAAGGCAGCTGAAATATAATGAATAACATTTAAAGAAAAGCAAATAATGGTTAAGTACAAATAATAATAATAAGCAGCAATGATAAAAAAAAACAACTAAACATGAGTAAATAAAAGATTACCTCAGTTGTGCTAGAGAAAAAATAATGACAAAACAGAAACATAATACGGCAGAGTGATTTATAGTAGGCAACGCTTAACATTTCCGAGTTATGACCATCAAGTTGACGAATGTCAAACTGCCAGCAGAAAATGTCAAGATCTTGTGGTTGATCGATGTAAATCACTGGGTGTCCATCTTCTTTTCTACAACGAACTCTGCCCCCCGCAAACCATAATTATTTTAGTTTGCCTGCTGCTCTTTTCTGACTGGCGAGCCAGTACAGACGTCTATTCATAGGAGACATTTCTTCGCCGAGATATATCGGGTGGGAGTCGTTTTCTTGCCAACCAATATCCCTGGTAGAAAAGTTCCTTTTTACCTTTCTTCTTTGCACCAAGTCTGCCTCACAAAACGAGCAGTCACGGGTGGTGGTCGGGAATCATCTTTTCTTGGTCTTCGTCGCTCCACAAAGTCGAGGTCTTCTGCATTGATCTTAATCCCGAGGCCGGCTCCCACGCTGGCTACCAAGGCCGATGGAGTCTCTCCCGGGCGTACCGGGATGCCGCGAATTTCTATTGATCTACGAAGTAAACCTTGCTCGGCTTTGTTAACACGCACCTCAAGTTCACCTACTCTGGTCCTCAGCATCTTATTTTCTGAGGTGAGTTCTTCTAGGTGTTTCGCTTGGGTTTCAAGGTGTCCTTCTATTTTTGTGAACCTCTCCTTCAACTCGAAACTGAGCTCACCATACTTCTCAAGCGACATTCTTAAATTTTTAATATCCTCATTGACCTGTTCACCAAGCTTGTTGACGGCTAGGAGAATATCCGATGAGGAGGGTTCTCTGGTGTCACTCTTGGATGGACTGGCTAACTTATCACTAGGTGGGGCAGCCTTTTTACCCTGCTCACACTTTTTACATAGCCACGGTTTTTTTTGCAATTTTATAACTTCAATCTCCTTTTCACTGTAATTGCAACATTTGCCGTGAAATATTACTCGGCATTTATTACAGGTTATATTATATTTAATAGTGATAGTGATAATTTCAATAGTGTAGAGAAGTTTTGCTATTCTAACTCAATACTGGAAAGCCAATGGGACTGACTACAGATACTGAGGTCAACAAACTATAGATAGAAAGATCATTGATAAGTTTAGATTCTCTTTCCTAGAATACCAATATATTTGGAGAAAAAAAAAACTGATTTGCAAGATACTAGTATAAATACTTATACTTTATATTGGTGAAGCTTGGTTTTTAACAGAGTAGCAGAAAAAAATACTGCTTTATTTGGATATTAGGAGTTTAATAAAGAAGAAAAAAGAGGAGAAAGAATCAGTATCCGTACGGGACTGGGATGAGCTTGAAGTAGACGGAAAAGGTGATTCATATCTAATGAAAAGACATGGCCAGCCATTTAAATTCATCATAGATGAAGTAGTTCATTGAGGAGAATGGACAAAGTGGCTTAAAGAAGATTTGGATTAAAAAATGATCATACTTGAAGAAAAACTAATTTTCCAATTTAAAATTTCTATAACTAACCCTATTAAAAATATCATTCCCTATTTTGTGAATTTTTTTTATTCAGACAGACATTCGGTTATAAGTAGAATACCCAACCAACTCTCTTCTCACATTTGCTCAAAACAATAGTGTATGCACACTTTAAAAAATCAAATATAGAGCTCCACTGAAGCAAACATTTCAAAATCGATATTTTCAGTTCCATTATCATTTTTTCAATATTTGAGTTGTTAAAAATGTTTGCACTATTTCAGGTCTATCTCCCACCTCCTAAACAAGATATCTGTTTTCACACATTTTTTTTTACTGACTTCTTTTTTATTTTTTGGCCAAATGATTTTATTTTAAATAATTTAACTATATTATTTATACTTTTTTTATTCATTTCATTCATATGAACAATAAATGAGTTTTGTGGTGAATCATTTTTTAAATGAGATTAACTAATAAAAAAATCTTTTAGTTTGTTAATTATATTATTTATTCATCATCATATTTGACTAAGTTTTATCAACTTAAAAATATACTTGACATTAGTACATTAAGCAGTGATTCATCTCTGTTGAAGCAACTTGACATATCTTAATCATGTCATCTATCTAGGAGGTTAAAAAAATGTAGGTATTTATTTTATGATTTATTTTAAACAGAAAAAAAACTATTTAATTTTTAATAGTTATTTTCAGGTGTTATTTTATTAAATTTGTATTAATATTATTACAAAGATTCAGTAGAAAATTTTGAGTTAGTAGTATGAGTATCTAAATTTCACTAAAAATTGAGATATTTACATCATTCCTATTATGAAGAATTTACACCTATAATCTATATAAAATAATAATTATTGATTATCAATAGCATTAACTAATGTCTCCAATACATATTTGTTTCAATAAAAATTGTATTTTAAAGTGTTTATGTTTGTATCTTTGGCTATTGAATAGAGATACAGTTATTTATTATACCTATAGAATCACAATGCTTAATTATTTCCAATATTACATTTTTAATTAGTAACTATTTAAATAATAAAAAGGGTAGAGTTTTCTGTCTTTGCAGAAATTTGGTGGAGGGAGAGACCAAAGGATGGTCAGAGATGAAGATGAAATCAGGCCTGATTCTGAGACTGAATTTCCATTCATTGATTCAACTGAAGATTCAGCTGAAGATATAGTTGTACTTGGAAAAGGTATTATTAAATATCTCATTAGTGTAAGGAGTATGTAGTTGAGTGTTATGTATGGCAGATTATGTACACCCAGCTAGCATACATAGAGGTTGTGTGAAATGGATTTGTCACTGATCCTTTTTATTTCTTCTTTTTATTTTTAGTTATCATTAATTTTCTTCATTATTATTATTATTATTATTAACTTATATTTCTCATATTATTCAGTGACAAACCCATTAGTAATCTCTCACTAGCTGTAGTAGTATTGTGTTGGCCAGTGAGACGTTTTATATCTCTATTTTGTTAACTGTTTTCTATTGTTATATTATGGCTAAAACCTGGAATTTATATTTTTACCTCTCACTTTGGATATTGAATTGATAATGAAAAAAATCAGTTAGAAGATTTTTTCTTCCAATTTTACCCCGTATTCACACAAGTGATATTGGCGAGTATGTCATTTTAATATTTAATTTTTATTAACATTAACTTAAAATGATTCCTCCAAAAGACATGCTAGGAGGCTTGTTGGTTATGGAAGATAATGAGGTGAAAGAAGAGAACGTAGTGTCAGCTTCTGTCCCTAATGCTTTTTCACGGTTGCCGACATTTTTTAGAGAAAAATTGGACTTATGGATTGTTCAGGTAGAGGCAGTATTCAGCTCTTGTAAGATCACCAATTCCAAGAGGAAATTCAAACTGATCATTGCCCAACTTGATTTTTGGACGCTGTAGGAGGTAGCTGACTTGGCTTGCAACCCATCTAACACTTATCCCTATGAAATGTTAAAAGAGAGGCTTATCTCAAGTTTTGGTCAGACAGATATTGCCCAAAAAAAGATGTTTTTAAAGGAGTAGAAGTTGGACGATCAGGCTCTTTCTCATTTCCTCCGAGAGATGCAGCTGTTGGCTGTAAATTAGGTCTTTGGAGGTATGCTTACCACCCTGTGGCTCAGAGGATCAGAGGCCCTTTCCTGAAGGAATGTAAAGGGCCTTAGCTCCGACAGACCTCACAGACGCTTTGAAACTTGCTAATATTGCTGACCAAATAGCCAAGAAACAGCTGCCTCTAGATAATCCCATTATGGCAAACCAATCTGCACCAGATTTTTTGAGAAGAGAGGATCTAGGGGAAGCAATAGATCACTTGAATAGGGAATTGGCCACTCTGAAAGCACAAATGAGAGCAAGGAATAGTTAGCAGGAGAGCAGATTGTCTAGCAGGTATCGGAGGTCATCGAGAAGTAAAATTAGAATACGTTCATGCTTTTACCATGAGAGGTTCAAAGAGAAGGTGACCAAGTGCCATCAACCCTGCGAATGGAAACTGGCAGCTAGGGCGTTAAACGAGTAGTTGCGAGGCAGTTCCATCGCTGAGGTCACCAACCACTGACTCTTAATCGCTGATAAGAAGTCTGGGGTCAGATATCTGGTGGAAACTGAGCCCATCCTATCTGTCAACCCGGGAAAAATGCAACGGAAGAAGACCAGCTAAATGAGACAGGCATTCTTACCTTTGGGAGCGTGGTCCAAAACCTTAACTTTGGACTCCACCTTAAGATGTCTTTGCAGTTCACCCTGGCAGATGTAAGCCATCCTATATTTGGCACAGATCTACTTTACCACTAAAGTATGATGGTAGATCTCGCCAGATGCCGGTTGGTGGTCCAGAAGGTGGGGCTAACCACCTGAGAAAGATTAGCTAAAGTACCAGTGCCCATGGTTTATTCAGTACCTACTGGGGAATGGTACAGTACATTAATACACCAATACCTTAGGGTAACGCAGCTGACCTCCTACTTGAAACTGCCCATACACCACGTCGTCCACCACATAGAGACTCAGTCTCAGTCACAGCCAGACTCCACCGTCTGCCCGAGCGGAGGTATTATTCCGCCATGAGGGAGTTTAAGCAGATGACTGAAGAGAAGATCTACAGGTCGTCTAATAGTCCCTGGGTTAGCCCACTACACATTTTAGAGGACAGGAGCATACAACCCTGAAGCGACTACAGGCAGTTGAAAGTCAAATGGTTTCACGCTGGGTCTCAACCGTGCATATTACGAAATCTCAGTTGCAGAGGAGGAAATTTCAAAGACAGCTGTTATCAGGTCTTAGTGTTGCCCAAATGCGAGACCAAGACGAATCTTGGACTTACGCAAGAGTCTTTCTGTTACTTATTAGCTTATTACTATAGAGATATTACTGTAGCTTTTTAGATAGGAAAAACCTAACTAGGCCCGAATAAAAAATTAGAAGAGTTAAATGTTAAAGTATATTGGTTATACCAATTCTTTACCTATAGTAATTTGTAATACCTATGATATCTGGATTCTGGAGATGAGTTTCATGTCCATTTAGATAATTATGTAGCAGCAATTCCCGTGTGTGAAGAATTTCGGGCTATGGGTTATTATTTGGGTAAAATTTGAATGTTCATTCTATTCTCTTTTTGCCATTACCATCACTTAAATTTCCTTTCTATTCCTTTTAAATATCACTCCATCGGTAAAAAACGAATTCCTGACTCCATGTGCATTTCTTACAAAAACAGTACCAGTCATCTTTCATTGTTTGTCGTTAAAAATTGTTCAATTTTTGACAAATTTCAAAAATTCTGACAAATTTTTCTTCTCAAATTCTTTTCCAGCTTTCCTTCACATATCAATATTAAATCTGTACTCATCTTAATATATTACATCATTTTCCAGTAATCCTTAAGTTTTTTCTTAAACTATTAGGTAAAAACCAAACTATTTTCTTATTCATTAAATTTATAAGAGGTCTTTTTCTATTCACTATGTCTTTAACACCATATTGTTTTAATGTTCTCTGAAATTTATCCAGCCCAAGTTGTTCTACTAATAGTTCTAATTTATTCCTGCTGTTATTTTAGTTGACTGTTAAGGCTAGTATGGCAAAAATGGGTATAGAACAATTTATTCATTCAAATTTACAAGGATTATAATTTTTAGCCCTAAGCTCTCCACACATGGAGATGGCTGCTATATAACTTTCCAAATGAACAAGAAACTCTTATTCAGAGTCCAGCTTTAAATCCCATCGAATATTTATGGATTGAAAATATTGTGTCACTAAAATAACCTTAAGAACTTTAAACTTAATTGTTGAAACTAAATGAAGGAAAATGCTTACCCAATTGAATTTGAAGGTGACCCTATCATTGCCTAAATGACTAAAAATGATTCTAAAAACAAAGTACTTCATTCAAAATATTAGTTTAAATAATTTGACTAAAATAGATAGATAAATTATTACATCTATGAGCATGTATTAAAACTTTTGTTGCGTAAAAATTCTCATTTTATACTTCAATATTTGTTTAAAATATATGTATTTATTAATATGTTAATATTACTTAGAAAAAAAAACAGTATAGGTATAGGTGTATATATATATATAAGCTCCTTCCCTCGCGCGGGCTCATTACCGCATATGGAGAGCGTCCCATAGGTGGCAGATGTGGGGATGGTCGGTAAAAATTCTTTGGAAGTTCCTCCCGGTTAAGTCCGAAGTACTCACCGACCAACAATGAGACGGGCTCTCCAGACTTGCTGGAGGGAGGGGACCTCCAGACTTGCTGGAGGCAGGGGCCCACCAGACTTGCTGGAGGGTGTGACGTAAGATTGAATGCCCTACTCACATATCTGTAGTTCACCATACACCACAAATAGTCATGGATCTCCCTAAGGTAAAACGCTCATTATCCGGAGGTAAACTAGTTTCCCGTTTCGGTCTCTGGGTGCTGACTGCTTTAGGGGATTCATGGCGCAAATTGAAAAATAGGGATTTAAATATTGGTATGCGGAACGTAAGGAGTTAAACACAGCAGGGAGGTTACAAGCGGTTGCGAACAAGGTTAATGGGTACAATTTGGATGTAATGGCTCTGCAAGAGGTTTGCTGGCCAGGGGAGGGCTCGAGGAGGGAAGGAAAGTACACTATTTGGTACGGAGGAATCATTGTTTAGGTACCGAGTTTCTAATTAGGAATCAATTGTTATCTGCTTTGAGGGACGTATAATTCTTCATTGCATTAATAAACATACATTGTCTGACCGAAGACAGTGACGATGAAGTCAAATGCGAATTTTATGATAAACTCCAATGGGATTATGATAAACTACCGCGAAACTCCATGAAAATAATTGTAGGTGACGCGAACACAAAGGTGGGAAGGGAAGAAGTTTATGTTCCTACGATTGGTAAAGAAAGTTTGCATGACTATAGTAATAATAATGGGATCCGTCTGATAAACTTTGCCATCTCAAAAAACCTGATAATTAAAAGTGCTATGTTTAAACATAAGGATATTCATAAATATACTTGGACATCACCGGATTCACAAGCAAACACAAAATCAAATCGCTCATGTCTTGATACAACATAGCTGGCAAAGCAGTATAATTAATGTACGGTCTTATCGCTGAGCAGAATATGGGTTAGATCATGAATTAGAAATCGCGAAACTTTGGCAAAAACTTTTTGGCAATATAAAAAAGAGAAAAGAAAACCATTTCCATTTTGAAAATTTTAATTTGGAAAAATTAAAAAATCCATCAATTAGAACCCAATTCGAGCTAGATGTTAAGAATAGGTTTGAAGCATTAGAGCTTTCTGATGAGGACCACGAGGATATTGACAAGTTGTGGGTAGAGATCAGGGATAATACTAAAGCGGTCAGTAACTCATGCTTAGGAAAAAAGGAAAATAAGAATAACAAACCGTGATTTGATGAAGATTGCTTAAACATGTGCGAAAAAAGAAAAACTCTAAATAATCTTAGCGAAGACAATCTACAATACTTCCGAACCTCAAAGAACGAAACGACAAAATTGCTCAAAAATAAAAAAAAGGGAGTATCTTAAAAATAAAATAACTGAAATAGAAACTAATAGAATCGAAAATAACGTAAGAGACATGTTCAAAGGTATGAACAGATCACGTAAATGTTTAGGGCCCGTAACATCTGGAATTAGGGATGAATATAAGAATATTC